TTCTAAAGTGCTGTGTTTAGTTTCAGTGTTTTTAATTATTTCTTCTTTATTTATTATTTTTCCAGTTGAGTGGAACTATTTTATTTTCTTTTAAGGATATACTGTAAAACCAATTGTAAAGTGTTAAGGCTGGTCACCGTGGGCTCCGATCTAGCAATATTTAAGTTTCCGAAAATCCTGTTCGTAAACTGGTGGGGGGGAGATAAAGACCGGAGACTGGCGGTATCAGCCTTAATACTATCTGGTAATGTAAATAAACAGGCTAAGTGTATATAAGGAGGCTTATGGAACGAATAAAGCAGTGTTATTTCAGAAGTCGTGTATGTTACATCTTTTCCCTTTTCCTTCTTTTTTTTTATTTCTTAAGTCCGACGACGCTTAACTTATATATATATATATATATGTGTGTGTGTGTGTGTGTGTGTGTGTGTGTGTGTGTGTGTGTGTGTGTGTTAGAAATATGATGGCTTTGGGTGATAGTTGTCGAAGTATCTGTGGGGTTAGAAGGTCGTACCCAGGAGATTTACGAGGAGTGATTTTGCGTAAAAGGTAATTGACCTCAGAGAAATTAACTGCTTTAGGTGATAAAGAGCGTGGGATAGGTGAAGAGAGGAATTATTTTACTTTTACTCTGTGGATGGGATGAGATTCCGAATTAATGTTGAAAGTGTAGCAAAGATTTTTGGCAAATTCCTTGGCTTTTTCTACATCTGACGCTGCACAGGTACCATCACCTCGACGGAAGAGATGGGAATTATGATGGGATTTTAGGATTTATTTTGGTGATATCCCAAAGGGAATTATCATAAGCAGAGAGGGAGGTGAGGTAGGAATTGAATGATCGGGATCTGAAGGTGGCTAATTATAGTTTTAAATTTCTACAGTAATAATTGTATGAGTGGCGGTGGGCGCGATGTTTGGTACGTTGCTATCATAATCTGGCACGGCATTTTATATGGATTAGGTCAATGAAGTGACGTCCTAAAGAATTGAGGAGAGAAATAAACAGGGCATTCGATATGGGGAGGTTAGGAGGGCAACACGCTGATGCAATGGTGACTGGAAACGAGAAGGTTTTGATTGCGACTATAGTGGATTGTAGGAAATCGTGAGTAGGCAATGGGAGTATGTGATAAGAGAGGAATTGGTGTACAATAACACCAATACCAGCATGTGCTCAACCGTCAGGATGGTCAGTCCGTTACGTTAAATGCTGTGGTATTTTCAAAAGCATTTTTTGGTCATTCGAGTTTCTGTAATTTTTTTTTTGTATTTATTCAGAAAAATTACAATCGGTCACAATTAAGGACATATGTTTCTGCAATTAGAGCTACATCGATATTTTTGTCTAATAGTAAGGCTGTTAGTTCGTCTGTGTGATTTCTAACACCATTCGCATTAAATAGAAGAATGGTTATGGGTTTGATGAAGGTCATTTAAGGATTTTTTAAAGGAAGAATAAGATGAGATACTAGGTTTGTAAGGAGTGATATTAGTGGGACAACAAGGGATTTAAATTCGGTAAGGAAGGATATCAATAAACTAGTAAGATCTGTGGCATTAGACGGTGGAGGGATTTGATATTAGTTATTTTATTGAGGGTAAGGTAAAACAGGAGGTATATGATATTGAGGTATGGGTTGATTTGGTTGTAGCGGCTGGGCCTCACATTCATTAGTCGGATCCCTACCCCCGAGTGGCTCAGCAAAGGAAATCTTCGAGTCCACGATTTTAGCTGGTTCTCTTCTTTGCTTAGGTGTTGCATCCTGGTTCCGGGGTTTCATGTATCTAGCTTTCAGATTTATGTAAATTTCGCAACCTTTATAGAGGGTCGGATGACTTTCTAAGCATAGAGCGCAGACTGCTAGATTTGTGTGGCTCGCCACACTTCACGCAGCGCGGCAGGTGGTGTCAATAAGACTTAGTGTGGCCGCGTGCCTGACAATTGTCGCACTGGACGATAGCTTTTTTTGGTAGGGTTTTTCAACTTTTATACTGGTACAGTAAATTCGATTTATATCGTATATTTTTTTTCTAAATCCCTACTGTTAGCTCTAAATCTGCGAAAATTGAAGGCAGGGGAATTTTAGTTTTTATCTCTGGCTGTTCTTTATTTTCTTTCAAAGCATTTGTTATTTGGCGAACATTGAACCCTAAGACCGTTAACTCTTCTTTGATAACTTCCGTTGGAGTTGAGGGGTTTAAATTTCTTATCACCACTAATAATGATCAAGCCTCCCTCAGCTGGTACTAATGAAAATTCACATTCATTTCTGATAGGTACCTCACTATTTTTCGATCGATTTCAGTATCTGATGTTATTTTTGTATCGTTGATCCTGTTAAGGCATGAATAACTGCCAGAGCTGGTTTTATTTAGTTGGGTGCAGAAAAACTTTTTTTATATTTTTCACAAATATCGGAGGAGGCCTCGGTTCTACTTATCGGTGCAGACTCCTACTCTCTGTCATTTTGAAGCACCTGGTATGGGTTGTGGGTAAAATATGGATATTCAGAGGCCATATCTTGTGAAGATGTACTTGGCTGTGGTTGAGGTGTAGATTCTTGATTGTTCGCTGGAGGAGATCCGGGGGATGTTGATCGCTTACTGTGACGTTTTTTTATTTGTTTTTGGCGGTGAAATATGAGGTGTATAGCCATCTGATCGGGACTTCTTAGAGGACATAACTTGATAAAAATATCCTACATGTAAAGAAAAAAATAATAAAATAATGCATCGTCTGCGTGTCCTTAATCTTGGTGAAACGGCGAGCGTAGCTAACTGTGGCTAAACCAGTACTCGAGTGGGGAGCCTCAGTGAGACATAGCAGATTTGGCGATGTAGTGATTCTAGACACTGACTTTACTGTTTATGATAGTAAACAGTAATTATCAACACTACTCACTGTGGTATTATTGAATTGTTGTAGCTGCTATTTTGATGTCAGCGTGATAGAAAAAGAACAATTTTTCTAATAAAAAAAAAACTGTGGGATATTATGTGAAACGTGGCTGATCATATCTAGCGCATGAGCAGAACTCCGGTAAATAATATAAGAAAAATAAGAAAATATTTTTTTTATTGAAAATTGTAGTTTAAATAATGAAGTAATTAATAGAAATATCAAAGTTTCGGAGGTTAATAATTTTAAATATAAAAAATATACTTATTATTATTAAATAAGTATTATAAAATGGTTAATATGTCATTTTTTATTAAACTTATTTTAATCAATAAAGTTTTACTGGAATTACAATTATAATTGTGTGTTGGAGATTTAAAGAGATTCATTTTTTTATCAACGATTAATTAATTATAATAAATATGTTAATATTACAATTATTAAACCTGAAAAACTTAATAAATACTTAAATCAGAAATAAAATAATAAATTTCAAAGTTGACCGTAGACGGTAAGATCCGGTGAACGAGAAGGATCTTGTGAACGAGTGAACGTTGAGAACCCGGTGAACGAGTTAACGGTGAGAACGCGGTGAACGAATTAATTGTGAGGACGCGGTGAACGAGGGAATGGGAAGGACCGGCAAGTCATCGTTTATCCCATTCTCTAAACGGTAGGAACTGTAACGGTAAGAACGATGAACTAGGATGAACTCCCCGTTTACTGGACCCGTTAACTCCCCGTTAAGTTTCCAAAATGTCAGATTTTATCAAATTAGTTACCTATTAAGTGGGTAATTTTTGGTACATTTTCAAATTTGAATGTCAGATTCGTGAAAAACTTAGGAAAAATTTATTCAGATTTTATAACATAACACTAATAAAATTACTGTGCTCTGAAAGTATTCTGACGTTTTTTTTCCTGCTTCTGATCATGTAATTTCTGAGGCTATTTGAGATTTTTAAAACTGTCAGATTCGTATAAAGCTTCCAAAATTTTGTCTGACTTTATTAAGTATGTTACCTACAAAGTGCTCTGAAACTATTCCAATTGTTTTTTTGCCAGATGCTGATCACGTAAATTTTGAGACGTTTAAAGCTGTCAAATTCGTATAAAGCTTCCAAAATTTCGTCTGCCATCTACTGAGTTGCCTGAAACTATTCCAATAGGATTTTTTCTGCTACTTATCACGTAATTTTCGCAGTTTTTGCGAATTTTGAAATTCTGCCATAGCCAAACGCTTCCAGTTGGCGTCTGACTCAAGGGTTTGCCATTAGTTTGTCATCTCTACTGGTTTCAATTTTCAAACCTTCTGCCGCTGATAACGTGGTTTAATATTTGGCAGATCCGGGACTATAGTTATTAGATGTTTTCTAGTATTTCTGAAACAGGAAGCTGGGACAAAGTACTCACCTAGCGTGGCGGCCCATGGAAAGAATCTCGACCTCCCCACTCTGGTTAGGATATATTTGATAGTACTTTTAGAAGAAATTAGGGTATTAATTAAAAAATGCCCGTTAGCAGAACAAGCAGAAATACTGGTTTACACCATACCTGTTATTTATGAAAATCGATAACAGGTACAGAGTCCCATCGGCACATACCTAATACAAAATAACAGGTCCAGTATTTCTGAACTATCCCTAATAAAGTTATTTTAACATAAGTGATAGTAAAAAGGTATTTTTTATTGTTTATTTTTACACGGCTCACGACTTGGAATTTGTATTTTGGAACATTACTCTAGCTTAGCGATTTGGTAATAAAGATATTTTAGGACTAACATAATTATTAATTTGTATTCAGCCCTTAATCACTATGTATAAAATTATACATATATTTTAGCAATAAAGAAAACAGTAAATGACTGTTAGTAAAGTAAAACTGTCTGTAAAAGGCTGACAGTTAAGTCATAATAATATCGACAACTGTTATTGGACGGATAGAATTTAAAAGATCAAAATAAAATATCATTAATCAAATCAGTAAAATATTTTAATTTATCAGTATATGTAGGTTAAATACATTATTATTATTTCAAATAGTTTGTAAATATATTTTTCCTGAATTTCGACAATTGGGCGATGTTAGCGCTGGTTGTCAAGGGGGTTGGTGGTGTTTTTCTTTAGTACTCGTTTTGAATATCGTTGATAATTTATAGTTATCTCTAAGATTGTTTATCTCTTTTAAGGAGAAGGATTTATTTAATAATCGAATGATAATTTGTGCAGCCTAGTGTTTTAATATGTCTACTTTAAGAAATTTCATTCCTATTAAATCAATGTTATCACACATCAAGTTTACTTCTCCACTTATCAAAAGGTAGTATTTGTGTTTAAGAACGTTGATATATTTTAATTATAAATGTGTTTTGTCAATTTCATGTTTTATTATTTTACTTTCTGTAAATCAACTAAATGATGATAATTTTAAAGATTTATTCCTTGAGCTAACCTATGAATGACAACTTATTCAAGAAAACTATACATCCTATGTTTAATAGTATTGTTAAACTACACTTAAGGGTCTATGGATTTTATTGGATATTACTATCGTCTCTCAGTTATCCTTGTTCAATGTTTTTTAATTAGCCATAAGTTTGTATTTGACAAAAAAAGAGGTGTATAAGAATTAGGGCAAAGGAGGTTTGATATGGAATGTATAGTACAATCCTAGATAACTTTTCATTTTGATATAATTTTCACTTTTCATTTTGATATAATTATCACTTATCATTTGATGATAATTAAATAGTGATAAATAGAAGAAGAAACATGTAATTTCCTTCCGATAATTTACTTTTTGGAAAAAGGATTCTAATGGTTTTAATTTTTCATTCAATGTTATACATTTTGTTAGTTGTGTCTACCTAATTGTCTTAGTTGATTCAAATTCAGAAATTTATACTATTTCCATATGCTATTTAAACAGATCTTTATGAAATACTTTTATATTTTTTAAATTTTAGTTATAAGAGTTACAAAAATTAAGGGAATGCCCATAAACATTTTTTTTGATTTACCGACAAATTAAAAACCATTATTAGATGAACTAACTGAAGGTCAACTGCAGCATCTTACATCCCCTAGAAAGGAAATGTTACTGGTTAGAATGTTATTTCCACGTGCGAGTCTTCATTTTGATTTTGGAATTCATTTAAAAATTAACAGTATTTATATTTGCACACTAGGTGAATTCATTATTTTAATTTTAATTTATCCCAATTAAATGGCAAATTAGTGATAATTTCCAAACATTTCCACCCCATCAGCCTGCTTTTTTTTTTTTTATATCAGCTAATAGTTTTATTGGATATAGAAAATATTCAAATAATATCTGAGGCTCTAAACCCCTTTTGAAAGTTTAAACAAAATCCTTATGTAGGATATGTAAGAGGGTAGGCAGATAGAAATTGCTCACGTTTGAATAGGTTAAGGATAGTATAAATAAAAATGCTTTTACTACAATTTGTTTCAAGTTTATTCAAAGTAGGTAGCTCTGTATTATTGCAGATATTGGAGGAGGTAATGGCTAAGGACACTGCGATGTGAGCCCCAAAGTGCCCAGTTCTGAACATTGTGGGTTTGATTCCAACCTGGGTCTGTTAATATTTATTTCTCGACTGACAAGGGAAATGAATCTTGATACTTACTCTGGTTAATACGCAGATGCAACATCTGGGTAACCATCAGGGGTTGGCTATTAATAATAAAATGCTAAGTTACTAATTATAAAACAAAAAGTAGATATTACAATTTTTTTTCTTATGATTTGCAATCTGCCTTTACCACTACATGCCATATCTTTGAATCTCCTCCTCCCCCCCCCCATCTAATCATCAAGTGTTTTTTAGGCTTTAGGTTAACATTTATTTTTTCTCATTCTTGACTCCCTGAAAATTATAATAATTGCTTAATTCAATTTAGTGCCTTTTTTTAAAATTTGTATTGAGAATCCAAATGTATTATGAAGTATCAATTTGTAGCTCAAAACATTGCTTTTAAAATGAATTAAAATTAAAACTTTCTATTAACAAATTACATAATTTTAAACAATCAATAAACAGTAGTTTCATGCTGTGAAGGTTTTGCCTTCTTCAAGAACCTACCAGTGAAATAGACTAAATAAAAATTATATTGAAATTAGTGGCTTTACTTTCATTGTAACTTCCAGTATACTTATAGAAAGGTCGTGAGCATGAATATCAAATTCACTTCATAATAGTTAATTTGTTTGTTAATAAATATTTGTGAATATTGTGACAAAAAATGTTTACTGATTTTCCCTTTATTTTTTTAATTTCATTCCTTTACTTAGGAGAAGAGGTAAGGATTATTATTAATTTAAAGAAAAATCTGAAAATCTAACCTGTATCTATCTTCTCCCCTCAATTTTATATTTGAAGATATGTTTTATCCGAATATTCTCTCCTTTTATTTTATACATTCTAATTAATGGTGATTTTAACTCCTCTATCTGCCCTCTAATTTTCTTGAAAGGTAATGGTCTTTTTGTTCTTACATTCTTCCTTGACCTATTTATCGTTCCCTTTCAACTTAACCATCATACCCAGTTCTGAAATGCTTGTATTGATCTTTGTTATCATAGATTCTCCTTGAATGTTATTGCTTTCCTCTCAGGCTCTGTCATCTTTTCTAAAACATTAGCTTCTTTCTTGATTCACTATGGTCGAATGCCTCTCTTATAGGCTCATTCTTTCCCTTAACAACAATGCACTCCTTAAAACCTGTAATCTCAGGTCCTTCTTTTCCTCCAGCTTGTGTTTAGATATCTTATAGTTGTACTACCCTCTAGTTAGTGTTTCTTTTTTGGACTGTTGATGTGAGATGTGCTGCATTTGGTCTGCATATCTTATTTTTTCTATTCTGATAATGCTTGAATCAACTGTGTTGGTGAAATGTTTACTAGTTAATTATTTAATAGTACTTTAGAAACTTCAAGACTTTATTCTGGGAATCTTCTAATCATAAATTTTCAGAAACAATGCAAAGTTCAAGAAATTTTCTGTGATTTTTTAGTTTAAGAATGCCATCTTTTAATAATTATGTACACTAAAAAATAAATTAGTGAGTTGATAATAAATTTGGTATAAATTCGAAGCTGCTCTAATTGCATTTATATTTTCATATAAGCATTTTTATAGTTATTCTGCTTTATACTATTTAGATAAATGACAATCTTTTAAATAAATGACAATTGAACTGCAATTTAATTAAGAAATATTTCGAGTCAAAGTGTAATAACACTTTGTTATTATTACAGTTAGTTATTACTCCTTAAATACAAATTTGGTTAAATTGACACAGCAATATTTCTTCTAAATTTAATCAATTGATCTTTTTGTGTGGTTACCTATAGGGAAGGTAATTTTATATTTATATTGTTTCAGAACTTTAACTACCACCCCCTCCAAAAGTGAAGGCCGGGAAGGATGGTTCAGCAAATTGATTGTTCGAAGAATTGAACCAACCAAAGAACCACATTCACGTATGCTGTCCGACAAAGAAATCATTTATGAACTACAAACTCATAATATAAAGCCTGATTCAAGGAAGAATTATTTAACAAATTAGTAAGAATTTCTCCTTAATGAGAAGTGTACGTCTTAATTTGATGAGATAAAGGCTACTTTGTGTTTTAGTTGGTTAAAATTCTTAGGATGGATATCAGTCTATTTTGAAAATAAATTAGTAGCATGCTAAAGTAAATTAAGTTTTCATTTCAATCTTCTAGTTTTTTTCTTCTTACAATAATAATACAATGTGTATGTATCAGTGAAAGTTTTAATAATTTTTTATTATGTACAAAGTTACAAAGTTATTATTTTCAAATTAATATGGTATAAGTTTTTACAGTAATCCTCAACATTCATGGGTTTGATTTCCACAAATTTTGATTATACGTGAATACATGAATTTAGAAGAATTAACACATTTGGTAACATGCATTTGACTATTTGCAAAAATTAAGAGCTTGAACGATTCCATGTACATTATGGCCGTAAGTCTGTACCTAATAAACATGCATAATTACTTATTAGGTATTTAAAATATGGATCAAAACTTTATTTTGATTAAAAAAATTCAATCTTTTGTTAGTTGTTAACAAAACTGACATGTTCCTTCATGTTTATTGAACTACCCTAAGATACAGTAATATCACAAACAAAAAGACAGGTAACACATTATTTTTTTTTTAATACACCAGCAAAAATTAATTTAAAATTACAAATTTATATATTTTTTAAATTATTTATTATATGCTGTTATTAAAATTTATTAAAAACATACGTTTAAAACTAATCTGTGTTTTTATCTTTCTTGGCTTCTATAAAACATACTCCCCCCCCCCATTTGTTCAGGAAAATAAATTCTGCATTCACAAATTCAAGATTTTCCTGGAATATAACTCTTGTGGATGTTAAGGGATTACTGTATTAATTTTGTTTCAATGAATGGTTAGCTTCGAAAGGAGTTATGACACCAATTTCAACTTTAAAAAATCTATAAAAACACAGGGCAGGGATCTGAGCTCAAAGTTCTTTGGCTATATGTTGCACACCAAGTTATTGTGGATTCAATAAACTATATTGTGGACTGTTGAAAATTTGAAGTTTTTCCCAGACCTTTGATACTCAAGAGTAGAAAAAAAAAAATCAATGTATTTTCATTACCTCTAATATGATGTAACAAAGATATCTTGCTTTCCACAACTTTATAATTTTTCCAGTGCTCTCCTACTCAATAATTTGAAGTCCCTCACTTTTGTGATTGTTTTGAACATGTATATTGTCCTTTGTTGTTGATAAACTCAAATTATTTTTTATTTATTTTTTTTTTAATGTGAGAAATTGAAATGAGCTGTAGGAAGGACAAGTATCTTTTAATTAATAAAAAGGATTTCTATAGAAACTGGAGACTTAAATTTTTTAAAACAATAGAAGAGATATTGCACAACAGCCCTATATTTATCATGAACTTTGTTCATGATGTTAAACATGATTGGTCTTTTTTAATCTGTGAAATTTAAATGAGCTCTAGAAAAAAAAAGGATCTTTTAACTAATGAAAAAGAATTTTTATTGAAACTTTGAAAAATCAAATTAAAAAAAAATATTTCGCAAAACAGTTCTATATTTTATCATGAACTTTTTTGGTGATGTTAACAACCGTGACAATGCTAAATGGATGTAGTTCTTCTTATAGAAAAAAAGATTTTCTTAATGTGGAAATTTAATTAACATTTTATTTTATGTATATAAAACATATCAGTTTATTATTTTATAAATTTTAAAATAAATGTCTATTAGTAGAAATACGTAATACTTACATTTGATAAAGCTCTTATTTATTTAAATTGTGAATCCCTCCCTTCTTTTTTTTTAACTTTTGATAATTTGGATTTTTTTCTCTGGCCCCACAAGTTTCAAATTATATATTCAAATTAACCTATTTGGATGAAATTTATAGTACAGGCAATAGTTATCCAATAGTTCCATCTTTTGAGCCATGGCTTGGTGCACTATCTTAGCTGCATTGTTGTGTCTCCGTAAGTATTCCTTACCCACATGTATTGTATTTGTACACCTTGATGTTATATGTATTAACTCAACTGCTGTTGCATTGGTGACAAGTCATTGCTATCCTCTCCACATTTATGCCCTCTGTATGTTTTTGTACAGCAATTACCTGTTCTTGAATTGCTAGCAGAAATCCTTCCGTTTGTGGAATGATATTGCCACTCCTTATCCATGTCAAAGATGCCTGAGTGTCCACTCCTGCATCCATGAATGAGTATTATAATCGTCCATGTAAAGGTTTATTTTTCCATATTTCTGTCATAATGGCATCATCTGTTTCACCAATACCAGGGCTTCGTGGATTCAATGCTGGTAATTTGCATCTAAGAATGCAATAGTTTAGAGGATGTTGGAATATTTTATATATTTCTATATTGTTTTGATGATTATTTTTTTTCTTCCGTCATAAATTTAAGAGGCTGTTAAACCATGCCCATTCCATCTTCCTAGGAAAATATAACCTCGAAACCGGCGACTTTGGATGTCTCTTCTTTGAAAGCACCATCTGGACTCTAAGAAGGCGATCCAACCTTTCTAAATCGGTTTTTATCCACTTCAGTACTCCAGTGAGTAGGGATGGTTAAGGTTCTGTTATATAATGTATTATTATTATAAGATGCCATTACAAACCTAAAAAGAAAACATTTTCAAATTTTTTTTTACAACTTATTTATTGAGAAATATTACAGTCAATTAAGGACATTTATAATAATGTTCAGAGAGCACCTTCACACTTTATTTACAATAAATAATATAGAAAAATAATAATACTAAAAGTAAATTTATATAAACAAAAGAATCTAATCAAAATAAAAACTTTCAAGCAACCATTCAATTAATATTTGATTTATATATATATATATTATTGAATGGTTAATTTTGAAGGCTTTTTAGGTTTGTAATGCATTTTAAGTATTGCATCTTATAATAATGATAACAAATTGTTATTTATGGCAGTACCCTAACCATCCATACTCATATATATATATATATATATATATTCCATCAATATAACGATAAAAAATATGGTATTTTGCCATTTTCTAAAATTAAAGCAACATTAAATAGAAAAAATTAATAAATTTTGAGGTATGGAATGTTAAATTAAATTTTTAAAAAACTGAGAGTTTCAATATTATATGGTTGTTCGGAAAATAATGCGTTATTTTGAGTTATCTTTAAAATACCCCTCTATATAACAAACTGTTTACATTTACTGGATTATTCATATGTATGAATGTCAACACGTATTATTCCCCTTCTAAACAAGGCCTTCCATCTAAATAAGGCCCACCAAAAAATATTTGAGGTATATGGGGACAATGCATGTTTTGTTCCGGAGATACGAGTATCTCGAGAAAATGCACCCCACAGTGGTTGGCCCACCGAGGTTGATTTGAGTGATGTCAAAGCTCTAAGCGAACAAGACCTGTCACTACAGGTTTGAGAAATTGTGGAGACACTGAAAATAGGTTTTGCAACCGTTCAAAGGAATTTAAAACAGCTTGGCTCCGTGTCCCGCCTCGATGTTTGGGTGCCACACTGACTGAGGCAAACCTGAACAAAATGTTTTGCTCTCCATATGGTGGGTTTTTCGCGACATGCTGTTTTACGAGTTGCTTCCACAAGAAAAAACTATTTATTCAAAGATCTACTGCATGCAACTAACGAAATTGGACCAAGCATTGCAACCGAAACACCCAGTACTTGTCAATTGCAAAGGTGTTATATTCCTCCATGATGCCAGACCACACTCTGCAATAATAACACAGCAAAAGCAACTTGGCTGAAATGTTTTATTACACCCATCATATTCTCTCGACCTTGGTGGGATTCTTGTACCATCTGACTACCATTTATTCTGGTCCCTCCAAAACTCCTTCAATGGGAGAGTTGTAAAGGATCTCAATCAGTTTTTCGCTCCTAAGCCCCGGATGTTTTATTAGAGTGGAATAATGAAATTGTTAGAAAGCGTTTAAGAGGTCATTAATAGAAATGGCGAGTACATTATTGATTAAAATGTATTCTTTGTATGAAAAAAACTTGTTTTATTTCTCCTTTCAAAAACCGAACGAACTTATGGATCCACCCAATATCAATATATAACAAAAATATGGTAAAATTTAAAGTGCCCTGAATCACCTTTCAACTCACTAACAAATTATGGCTGGGGCAATGAAAGATGGGCAATTGGAAAGTGTGTGTTTATGAGTCCCTAAAAACTGAGGAAAGCCTAGTTCTGGTGAATTTGAAAGAACTGTTGATGAATTGAGAAATAGATACATTTTCAAGATTTTAAATTGATGTGCCTGAATTTTACATAAACATAAAAATTAATGCAAAAATTCTTAAATGCTTTTTTTTTTTTTGCAAATTTTCAAACAACCTATTTTGAAAGCTGGATAGTTCGCTTCCTGTTGAGTTTAGGCAAAAATGTTAGATAATTTTAAGCTTTTTAAGATTTAATGTATCCATTTTTATCTATGTCACTTTAAAAAAGAGATATTTTGCGTAAACCAAAAAAAGTTCGAAATTTAATGGTTTTTGGAGTACTCCAGCGAACCCACAAGGCTTTCAAGGGTGGAAACTTGGATTTTTTCTATTCACTGCATACCTTTAAATATAAAAAAGAAATTTGAATTACCCGACCTTTTGTGAGCTAGACCCCTTTTTTGTGCTAATTTGACTGGGCTAACAGAAAAGATAAATAGAATAAAAATTATCTTCAAAAGATGTTTTAAGTGAAAGGTGTTGTGTTTTGAAATTGTTCTTACCCACCTAGATCTCACAAAAAAGATTTTCAGAACTTAGAGGATGTTCTATCATGTACTCATGAAAAAAATATTTGAAAACTGCATTGTTGGATGGCAGTCAAGTATAATTGAATGAATACTGGGGGTGGTATTTTCTTTATGACTAAAAGTTTTCTTCAAACAGGGTTCTGAATTTTTCCTTGGCTCTTAAACTATGTATAACGCACCTACCCATTACATTTTATATTTTTTTAATAGACTTGTTGAGCAATATAATTTATCATGAATTAAAGTTAGTTATAAATTTGGTTTAGACCTATTAAAAATTTTCTTTTTTAATCATCTTGCGGTAATGCTTATAAATGATAAAAAAAAAAGAACAAGTATTAATTGTCTTGTTACAATTTGTCTGTCATTATAAGAGTAATGAACCTTATGAGGTTATTTTTTTATGCCAAATAACATTTTATTTCACATTTTTAAGTTAATATAATTAAGTTTTAGTGGTTTTATAGTGCTTCCATTAGTGTATTTATTGAGATATTCAGGGTTCATCTTATTACTATGTTTTATGTAAGTTATTTTGTTCATTTTTATGATATTTTCTTTGTCAAATATAAATCCCAATGATTTCTTATATTCAGAGATAGATTGCCATGAAGATTTTCTTCATTTGTGACCTATGAAGTTCTGTAATCAATTTTCAGTGAAAAGACTGTCCAACTGATTGAATCCCGTAAAAGTGAATTGAACAGTGAACTAGTTGGTTCATGGACTGTTGAAGTCGGGGATATGGACCAAGCTCTTCACTTATGGAGACACACTGGGGGATTTTCAGGGATTGATGTGGCCAAGAGGATATTGGCCACTGATAATGTAAGCTAGCTGTAGTAATAAAAATGTCCTTATTTGTCTGTATAGTCGTCTTTAATTTAAATTAATAAATTACTTCTTATATTTAAGAAATATATTTGGTTGTATTTTAAAAATTTGGTGTTAAAATCAATCAAAATTGCTTTTTCCAATATATTAATAATTTATTGATAGATTTTCAGGATAATGATAAAATAAATTAATGAAATTCAAGTAAATGATTATCATAGGAATTATGAATGATAATAATATGATTAGTAAAAATATAACTTTTTTTTCTGTTGGTATTATAGACCTTGTAGATCTTTTGCTGTCTTACCCATCTTTTTCCATCTCTGCCTATTATGCACTTTTTCTTTCCCGTTATGTACATAAAGCTCTACTGCATCTTTGTCAATTCCATCTATCCATCTGGTGTTTGGCCTTCCATGCTGTTCCTTGCCAACTATTAAGGTATTCATAGGTGAGTAGTCTTCCTGATAGATTGCTCCTAGCTACATGACCCGCCCATCATAACCTTCTTCAGTTCTGTTGAACTGAGAGGTTATTGATGTGGAGTTTTCAGCTTATTAAAATATATTTTGTTTTATCTTCATTTGCTTGTAGGCCGATTTGCTCTGCTTCTCTTATCTAAGTCTTAGCGACTTTCTCAATGTCCTCTTATCATCTGCATATCCTAGGATAGAGATGGGCCGGTGAATCGAGAATAAAATCAAAGAGTTGATTCCTTTGAAAGAATCGTACTCTCAAGTAATTCACACGAAAGAATCACTGTTCACTTAGAATCGGTTGATTCAATAGGTATTATTAAAAATAAAGTACAAGAGAGAGAAAAACAATGAACAAAAGATTGATATACATAAGCATGGGGTTATAAATAATATCTGAAGTGTGAAATGTTAAATGTAATGTAAATGTAAATTTCCTTCTTATTTATAATATTTTTATCAGCACTTTTAATTTCAATCAGTTCCAAAAAAAAAAAAAGTTTTTGCCTGAATAACAATAAGGTTTGAGAATGTTTGTTACTTTTTTTACCTAAATAAAAAATTCGTTTCATATTAATATAAAGAAGATGAAAAGAATCAATTGAAGGATTGATTCATTACAATGATTGAATCGCTGAGAATCGATTCAATTAAAATAATCGAATTTCCCATCTTTATCCAAGGATTTCATGATTCATCCCGACGTCCACTCCTCCATTTTGACATGATACTGTTCTTATCACCTTCTCTAGCATTAAGTTTAACAACTTTAGTGAGAGGCGATAAACCTATTTGAACTACGAAGGCTTGATATACTTTTCTTTGTACTAGGACTCAACATTTAGGGTCATTTGTACCCCCTTCGTTGATCTCATTTACTTCTCAGGCACTCACAGCCATGATTTTCATGATAAGATAGTTCCTGTCTATGAAATTGTAGGGTTCTTTAAAAGAAACAAATAAGTTCTAGAGATCCTGAGCTACTTGCCATCGTTTTTTTAGTACTTGTTTTAAGATGAAGGATCTGGTCTAGTGTGCTCCTTTCTCTTCTAAATCCATCTTGTTGGTTGTGTATTATATTTTTGTTGTATTGACATATCCAGTTTTGTAGGATATTCATTATCTTGTTGGCAACAAGAAGGTGCTATGTCTCTGTAAGTACAACACTAATACATGCAGCCTTTCTTTAAGATATGGCAGATTAGGCCCGTATTCCAAACCTCTGGTATTCTTCCATGCTCCCATATTTCCGGGATTAATTGTAGTGACTTCACTCTTAAGTCTTCTCTCCCATCTTAAAACAGTTCTTCTGGCAGGTTGTGCATTCCTGTGGTCTTACTTGTTTTAAGCCTTTCAATAGCAATTTCCACATCAAGTATATCTGGTTTTTAAACCTGTTTTGGGCTGAGGTCCTCAGTGTGGTCCATGTCTTCTTCATTTGTGGGATCCTAATTGAGAAGTTGCTGGAAATGTTCTTTTCTTGAGATGCTATCTTTTCCTCGCATTTATGTATTTCTCACTTTATATCCTACCCTTTCTTTCCTAATGTCTGCTTAGAATCATTTATATCACCATCCTGCCAGTTCTCCGCAATAGCTTGCAATCTTTCTTTGAGTTATTCCCTTTTTACTGATCTTTTAATTTTGTTTGTCTTTTTCTTAGCAGCTGTATAATTGTCCACAGTAGCTTGATCATTTTTGGCTAGGCAAAGAACTTTGATTTTTAATATAATGTAACATTTTATATATATATATATATTGTGTCTGTGCGTGTGTGTGTATAAATGTTTCTAACATAATTTTATTTAAATGCCATAATCATGAATATTTTAGTAGAAAAACATAAGTATCATAAATTATTGCTCGTAAAGAATTAGTTAGTATACAGGAAGGTCATGATAATCTAAACACGTAGATTGCATATCCTGTTCACGTTATCAAAGGTTAAATTTAAAATGAGAAGGAGAAAAAAATAGTATTTTTAATTATTATGCCGATGTTTCGACCCGCCTTGCAGGTCTTCATCAGGGCGTGGCATATGGCACTGCAGGAGGCAGTTGATAGACTGGCTACTATTTTAAATTACTATAATTATATTATTCTACTATTTTAAATTTAAAATGATGGAAAAATTGAACCAGGTAACGAATTACACATGTGCACATTGCAACTGAAACATTATTTCTGAAAAATGATCATATAATTTTAGTTTAGTCTTTGATTTTGTTGCTAAAGATATACCTGATATCACAAATTCCTTAAAAGTACCAGGCTTCAGTAGTCAACATTGTATCCGTTCGTCCGCTCTCCAAACAAGTATTAAATGCCTTTATGGCAGTTCAATGCTTTGTCTATAATGAAAATTAAATGGGCTCATAAAAATTTTCCATTGAATTGAAAAAATAGTATTCCATACTTGTTTTTGAAATTATCAAGCCAACCTTACTGGTATTAAAATCTTCTTTCTCATCCTTCTTAAAAAAATTATTTAAGAAAAACTTTGACTTTTCAGCTAGTATATTCCCGGACTTTAGACACCCTCGTGATCTCTGCTACAAAATCTACATATAAATAAGATTCCTCAACTTCTGGATGACTGTCTAATTTTTCTTTTTTCTGTTCAAAGATACCACAATACGATTTTGGCACATGAAGCAATTCCATTAATATGTACTGAGAAGCAGAGGTATTCCCATTCCGTCTCTCATTAGTCAACTTCAATTTTTTCTTCTTCCTTGTTCGGATTACCAGGGTTACAGATTATCAAGACCGTCCTGTATTACTAACTTTTATTTATCAAAATTACAAATATCAATACATACTTAAAATTTGGATTGTTACAGTCATTGGATACCATATTGCATTCAATTTAAAATGTTGTTTTTTCATAAAAAGTTAATTTACCAAATTGGGTGCAGCTTAAATTTGATTTATGCAAAGTTATCTGTAAGGCTTTTTAAATTAATACAAGGTCAATTTATTTTTTGAGCTTTTATTTAATTATATTTTATGAGTATCTAAAAATTAATGCTCCAAGAAAATGCCTTATTTTCAATGTTTCCAAATTCCAAATATTTTAACATTATTTATTATTTTATTCATCAAATTACCTAATACATGAAAAAAAGTGGGCATCTTATATTTAATGCAGTATGGTAATATCTGTTCTCTTAAGATACAAATATTTAAGTTAACAGCTATTTAGTTAAAATTTTCACATCATATATAAAATCTAATTTTCAGATTTCTGGTAACCTAGACAAATAGCAATGTATGTATGATCCATTCCTGTTTGTGCTGTCAGGAGTTAATATAAATAATTTCAGCTAATTTTATTTAATTTAGGCATGTATCGGGTTCTGTTATTAAACATGATATCCTAGTGAAACAGATACAACTTTCAATCTTATCATAAAGTGGTTGACGATAAATAGTCAGGATGCAGTCAGATTTTAATATTTTTCTATTGGCAACATTTCAACCCAAGCTTGTGGGACATTATCAGTCCTGATAACCTGCCCTGATGATGACCCACAAGCTTGAGTTGAAACATAAGCAACAATAAAAATCTTAAATTCTGACTGCATCCTGGCGAATTATCACCCATAATATGTAGAACAGTCGACTAACTTCCTTCAATAATTCATTAAGTGGTGGGGTATTTTGTTGCAAAACAGAAGTAGCTTAAAGCATAATTATTTAATACTTTATCTTGTATATTCTCTAATGCTTCAAAGTGTTTGGTGGTTCAAACTGAGGCAGCATGGAGGATACAACATTAACATCATTGATATATATATAGTTTCAGCCTGGCACCCCTTGAAATTATTTTAGCTTTCCTATAAATACTTAGTACTGCCTCAATGCTCGAATTATTTTTAGATTCTATTGAAAATTGAGGAGTCCTACCTAAATGCATGTAATGCCAAGATAATTATACTGGTGTACTCCTTTAAGTAAAGTAAATATACTTTTGCTTGTATTAGACCTATCCCTTTAAATTTAAAGTATCAGTAGAAAAAAAGACTTTTATAGTCTTAATAATTAGAATACTTTATTTTAAATTTATCCAAATTTTCACCTCTTCAGTGATAAAATCTGATTTTAAAATGTATTATGAATTTTCATCTGAAAAAAAAAAATATATATACAAAAATTCTTTCAGAGTATTTACTAGTAGAAATTAGTCCATTTATATAACTCATAATAATATTAAAAACAAATATTAACAAGTCAACAATATTTATATAACAAAAAAAAAAAAAAATGAAAAGTACTCGTTTATAGCAGTGCACCATCTTGCACACCTGGTCATAGTACACAACAGAATGAGAAGAATCCTTCAGGGAAGAAGAAGTATTGACAACATTAAAATATTTAATACTATATAAATAAAAATTATTATTATTTTAATATAAATTATTCAAATTTATTAATTATCGATTATCAACTATATGGCAATATAAAAAAAGAAAAAATAATTTCACATTTATATTTTTATTTTTAATATTATATCAAATTTAAAACTATGTAACAGTAAAAATTTGTTTAATCGGCATCTGTATTAAGAATAACCAATCTGATATCGATCAATATCATTGTTGATTCACAATATTTATTGAAATTGTTCAAATTTCTCGCATCAGTTTTAAAATTTACAACTTTATCAAGGCTCTTGAATATATAAAGGGCCTTCAAGTATTTTAATTTTTGGTTAGAATTATTTAGATAGATAGAATTAGTTAGAAGTAGTTAAATCGAGGATCTCCAAAACTACTTATAAAATATGTAGATGATATTTTAATAATAATAAATAAATACCAAGTTGATAACATTCTTGATGCATACAATAGTTTTCATAATAGTCTACAATTTACACATGGAATAGAACGAAATAAATGTATTTGATTTTGGAATCATTAACTGTTGGAATCATTAATTGAAATTTGAGTGTACAAGGAAAGATTATTGCAGTGATAGGATTTTAAATTACTTATCACACCACCCTTTTAATAAAAAATTAAACGTAATTAGTAACTTTATGAGCAAAGCTGTAAAACTAACAGATATTGATTATTTGAAGGATGTGAAGGAGTAATTCTTTAATATTCTCCAAAAACGTTTGTACCTGTACTCGCTAATTACTGCTATATGGTACAAAATATTAGATAAAATTGATAAACCAATAAAACTTAATCAAATTAATGGTATTCTACTGTTTTTTAATCGGCATTTTTCTTTTTTTTAATTGCACAAAAGTTGATGATCGATAATATAGTTGAATATTATCGATAATATTCATATAATTTGATAAATTTATATTAAAATAATTATTATTTATGTGGTATTTAAATATTTTAATGTTGGCAACACCTCTCCTTCCCTGAAGGGTTGTTCTTATTATGTTGTGTACTTTGACTAAGCGTGCAAGATGGTGCACTGCTATAAGGGAGTAAGTTTAATTTTTTTTATATACATATTGTTGGCTTGTTAATATTTGTTTTTAATGTTATTATGAGTTTTATAAATGGCCTAATGTCTACTAATAAATCCCCTGAAACAATTTATATATATATATATATATATATATATTTCAGGTGAAGATTCACAATTTAGTATAAAATCAGATTTTATCCCTGAAGAGGCAAAAATTTGGATAAATTTATAATAAAGTATTTTAATTATTAAGACTAAAAGGTCCTTTTTTTCTACCGATGCTTATTGAAGTCTCTTTCCCAATATCATGTGTTATTTTAAATTTAAACAATTTGTTTTATAAATATTTACTGTTAAATAGTTAAATATAAAGTAACCATGACCTAGTCATTCATGTAATGAGACTCATAATTTCTTCGCATGGTCTTATCTTATCTTCATTCCATGTGGCCTATTTTCTTAAAAAAAGTTAAAATCTCCTATGAAAAAGAAAGAAAGGAGGTTTGTCTTTCCTTGGAGTGATTTTGATTCAAAAATTTTTTATCATCAGTACCTTTGTAGCCTAAGTAGTTTGCCGCTTATTCCTATTGAAAAAGGATTGCACAAAAATTTTAGATATGAAATAAAATCAAAAGCTCTCTAAAATCTGTGAATACACTGTAAATATATTGACTGATTGACTGTGTTTTAATAATTTCATTTGTAAGAGTGGGCTTAAATAAAACATATTTTCTGAACAGCCTCTTTTTAAGGTTTTACCCTACAATGTTGTACTCAAATCCACCTATTTTCTTGATCCTGAAATTTTTCTGTAATCAAAACTTGAATACCCATATTTCTGTCCTTATATCTCCCTTTTACCCATCATGGGCAAAAAAAAAAAAAAAAACATTCTGATACGCCTGTATCCCATCCTAGGTTTTAATCACATGATCCAAGATCACCAGCAATGTCACATTACAGAGAGCACACATAATCCAGCAATGTCATTCTGTGTAGATGTCTCCTCTGCATTGGAATGTGGGTTACTGCGCTAAATGGAATACTGGGAGTTTTTCTTAATGTAGAACAGGCATTTGATCATGTCTGGCACCTGGGATTGCTTTACGAAATCCATCAATTCCTTTCCCCAACATACTTTCTCTTTATCTTATTAATGGTATGACCATTATTAATGCTACATAGATAACTAAAGATAATACTATACATATAGTCTTGGAATGAACCAAAACAAAATATATATATTTATTGTCCGATTTCCCCCCCAAAAAAAACAGGAAATTTAAGGGTTTTTTTTTTTTAAGTAAGTCACGTATTTTGTTGAATAGAAAGCAATGACTAAAAAAATATTTGATTTGAGTAATTAATAATTGCTTCACAGTAAACTAGCCAAAATATACTTCAAACAACAGTAGAGTTTGTCATTGTTAATACCATTTAAAAAGGACTTTTGAGTGGCTTAAGTAAGTTAAATCCATTTTTTTTTTAAATCATGAATTATTTATGATTTCATCATAAATCTTAAATCACATGATTTCATCACCCTTCAGCTATACTTTTGAAAAAACTTCCTTATTTAATAAGCGAAAAAAAAAGGTAATTTGATATCCTTTCACCTGTAAGTACCAATTTTTTAAGCAAAAATTACATATTATACTTTGATTTTACGACTGACTATATGATGGATTTATTATAATAAAATAAATACACATTTAATTTACAAAAAAAAAGTTAGAAATAATGATTTTTCAAATATTTATCATCTAAAGTGATAATCAATCTGCGTTTTAACCCACATCTTTGTTTTCACAATAATTATTATTTGTGACTTACTACATGTTCCTAATCCTAATACTTACGTTTTCAGGAAAATGATTCAAGCAATCAGGAGGCTTCTTTATTTTAAACATAAATAATAGTATTAGAAACACTTAATTGATCACTTATAAATATGGATCAATTCCTATAATAGATATCTTGGTAAAAATAAATAAACACAGATTCATTATCACTTTAGGTGACAAGTCTTTGAAAAATCATTATTTTTAGCATTTTTGTGGAAATAAAATATGTATTTATGTTTTCATTATACATCCCAGTTAATGGAAAAAAATATATTGTGAAACTTTAATTTTTTTTCATAATGATACAAAAAACAACAATGAATTGTTAATAATGCTTGGTTATAGTATGGGAAATCTAGTGTGTATCTTCTGAAATGGTGTTGTAGCCTTTTTTATTATAACAACACAATATTTCATTTATTTCTGGACTGGACGTCTTGAAATTAATTTCATTAATTTGTGTATTCAGAAACTGAATGAAAATTAATCATCCATTGGTAACAGTTACGCTATATATGCTTATAGAAATAAATAAGGAAAATTCTCAGATTTGTTTTACTCACTGATATGATACTTTAGATTGAACTGAGCTATAAATAAATGTTTTTTAATATGACTTGAATTGGAGGAAAACAAGAATAAAAATTTATTATTTGTATAAATCTTATTACTATGTCTTATGGGAGAGGCTGCTGTTATTATTTGCTCTTTCACTAACTAAAACCTCTTATTTGTATCACTCCTTGTGTATAATATTAAAATTTAAAAAATGTGTATCTAATTCATTTTTATTATTCCTTTGTGTCCAGGATTATTGGAAACTTGAAAATGAAAGGGGCTCTTACTTGCGTTCAAGACATTTGCAATACCTGTTGTCCTTCAGTTATTGGCCACAAATTGAGTCTAGAGAAGGAAATAATATTTATGAAATTAGAAGTTACCGCTTGAAACCTGGAACAATGATTGAGTGGGGAAACAATTGGGCCAGAGCCATAAATTATCGCCGTAGCAACAAAGAAGCATTTGCTGGATTCTTTTCTCAAGTTGGGCGACTTTATAATGTTCATCATATTTGGTGTATGTCTTCTTAAAGTTTCTTTTTATTTTATTTATTTGATGCATTATAATGATATAATAATTATTCAGTTTGTATAGGTTTCATATGGGATGCTGGTTTTTCCTGCTTCATTGGAAGCAGGCAATATATTGTCATGGGTTTTTATGGGCGGGTAAATGCTCCCTTTCTTTTAAGATCTTTTCTCTTAAACATCTTTTAAGATTGGCATTTTTTTAAGCAGATTTTTTTTTCTTGTTTTGATAAGATCTTTTTTTATTTCTTGTGCTGGATTTGGTAGAATAATTTTTCATATTGCTCCTGGCACCCCAATAAAGTTTGTGATTATCTTCACTATTCTTCAGTTTAAAGTAAAAAAAGTGGATTTTCTAAGAGTACATTAATGTATGAGGTTTCCTGAGTCCATAAGTTAGTCACCTGTGCAAAACTTGCACTTTGTGGTGGTTTGATTTCAAATATTTGTTGATTGGCTTGGAGATAATTGTGTTGTGTCGGAGAAGTCTGACATTGGTTACTAAATCGATCCTTGGCAAGTCCATAGATAGTACGTTTTCCCTCCATCTTGTAATATATGTACATTCCCGAAATTTTATGTACATTTAACTGCAAGAATGATGTGGAATCTGATAAAAGAGGAAGTGTGCACCATTCTTTTTCCAATCAGTTTCCTTCACCGTCTCTTGAAATTGTGCTGTGAATTAGTATCCATTGTAATACTGTCAAGCATCTCGGTCAAAAAAGTTGCTTATTGCGTTTTTTTGAATTTGATATGTTTTTTAACTCTACAAACTGTCAAAATGGTATTATTCGTTCAGGTGTTGATGGTTGTCGCATATCCCATTGCTAGAAAGATAGCTTTTACTTCAAAATCAAAATGTTTCCTGGTATACCTGATTTCCTTTTAAAACAATTAAAAGAACAATATCTAGATCCAGCCACTCCTAGGGCACTATCAGCAGGCCAATCAGAGATTAGAGATGGGAACTCCGATTCTTTTAATTGAATCAATTCTCAGCGATTCAATCATTGTGATGAATTGATTTTTATGAACTATTCTTCAATTGATTATTTTCATCTTCTTTTTTTCTTTAAATTAAAAAATAACTTATTGTTGAGAAAAAAAAAGTAACAAACATTCTCAAACCTTATGGTTATTCAGGTAAAACATTTTTTTTTTTAACTGATTGAAATTAAAAGTCCTGGTTCAAATATATACAAATAAAAAGTCATGAATATTATAAATAGGAAGGAAATTTAAATTGGACAGACATTTTTTTTTTAATTTTACTTATTATATTTTGGTCTGTATATTTAAATTGTAAATGAAATGAAATATAATTTTATTATCCTGGGACTGATGACCGTGTAGAACAAATTATACATACAAAATAAATAAAATGTGACAGTATCATCATACATTAATTTAAATATTTACATTATAATAGGTAATTAAAAATAAAGTACAAGAGAGAGAAAAAACTGAACATATATATAAATAAAACAAACAGAGAATAAACAAAATAGTAATTAAATATATGTATTCTAATTTGTATTATGGTTGTAGTTACATTAAGGAATTGTCAGAAGATATAAAGAGGTCTTTTAATGATTATAATGTAGGAGATTATATATAGCATTTCCAAGTCAATTTCAACCTTTTCCAAGTCAAATTCAACCTTTTTCAAATCAAATTAAACTTTTTCCATGTCAAATTCAACCTTTTCCATTTCAAATTAAACCTTTTCCATTTCAAATTCAACCTTTTTTTATTTATTTAATTATCTTTAATTTTTCGATGCGTGGGTCTGTTATCGTATGAGTAGTTTTTTAAAATAACCTCCTTTTTAAGATTACATGACTGCGTTTCGAATTATTTAAGTTTTTTTGAATTATTCGATATAAGGGTGTATTTTTATGTTTCCCGATCAGTAAATTTTGAAAATGACATCCATTTTATGTTTACGCCACTGTGTTTTGATTTATTTAAGTTTTTAGAATTTATCCAATATAAAGGTCTACTTTTATGTTTCCGGAGCCGTAGATTTTGAAAACGACCTTTATTTTAAGATTAGGCCACCGCGTTTCGACTTAATTGAGTTTTTCGGATATTTTTCATATGAGGGTGTATTTTTATGTTTCCGGAGCTGTAGATTTTGAAAATGACCTCCATTTTAAGATTAGGCCACCGCGTTTCGACTTATTTGAGTGTTTCGGATTTTTTTCATATGAGGATGTATTCTTATGTTTCCAGAGCCGTAGATTTTGAAAACGACCTCCATTTTAAGATTAGGCCACCGCATTTCAATTTCTTTGAGTTTTTCGGATTTTTTTCATATGAGGATGTATTCTTATGTTTCCGGAGCCGTAGATTTTGAAAACGACCTCCATTTTAAGATTAGGCCACCGCATTTCAATTTCTTTGAGTTTTTCGGATTTTTTTCATATGAGGATGTATTCTTATGTTTCCGGAGCCGTAGATTTTGAAAACGACCTCCATTTTAAGATTAGGCCACCGCATTTCGATTTCTTTAAGTGTTTCGAATTTTTATCATAAAAGAGTGTATTCTTATGTTTCCGGAGCCGTAGATTTTGAAAACGACCTCCATTTTAAGATTAGGCCACCGCATTTCAATTTCTTTGAGTTTTTCGGATTTTTTTCATATGAGGATGTATTCTTATGTTTCCGGAGCCGTAGATTTTGAAAACGACCTCCATTTTAAGATTAGGCCACTGTGTTTCGGTTTTGTTAAGTGTTTTTGATTTTTCCTTCGAATAAAAAACATAATACGAAGGATTAATTTATTTTTCAATAAATAAATAAAAATATCTAATCAAAATAAATAAAATATGTATTGTCTCATTTTTAATTTAATTTTAGTTATCTTTTTTAATGTTGTGGTCTCCTATCACAAAATTATAAGATTTCGAACAATTACCTGAAAAATCTGAATACGGAAGGTTAAATTTATTACCAGTTGCTTTTCGGCTTTTTAGTTTGTATTCTGTGGTTAATTTTAATTTAGCTTCATATTATTTATTTAGTTATTCATAATCGAAAACATATTGCTGAAACTTTGTATTGAAAAAATCCAAAATGAAGCCTAATTAATCAAGATGCAGCGGCTTAATCATAAAATGGAGCTTAAATATTAGATAAATTTAAATATTAAAGATTAGAAAAAATTCAATAAGTCTCGGATAACATATAAGTAGATCCTTATACCGAAAAAGTAAAAAAAAAACTTTTATAATCCAAAACAGTGGCATAAACTTTAAATTGGGTCATTTACAAAATGGGGGAAATCTACTGCTCCAGAAACATAAAATTAGACCTTAATATTGGATAAATTCGAAAAACTTAAATAAGTCAAAACGCAGTGGCCTAATCTTAAAATGGAGGTCATTTTCAAAATCTACAGCTCCGGATACATAAAAATACACCCTCATATGAAAAATATCCGAAAAACTTAAATAAGTCAAAACGCAGTGGCCTAATCTTAAAATGGAGGTCATTTTCAAAATCTACAGCTCCAGATACATAAAAATACAGCCTCATATGAAAAATATCCGAAAAACTCAAATAAGTCGAAACGCGGTGGCCTAATCTTAAAATGGAGGTCGTTTTCAAAATCTACGGCTCCGGAAACAAAAAAGTAGACGTTTATATTGGATAAATTCTAAAAACTTAAATAAATCAAAACACAGTGGCGTAAACATAAAATAGATGTCATTTTAAAAATTTACTGATCGGGAAACATAAAAATACACCCTTATATCGAATAATTCAAAAAAACTTAAATAATTCGAAACGCAGTCATGTAATCTTAAAAAGGAGGTTATTTTAAAAAACTACTCATACGATAACAGACCCACGCATCGAAAAATTAAAGATAATTAAATAAATAAAAAAAGGTTGAATTTGAAATGGAAAAGGTTTAATTTGAAATGGAAAAGGTTGAATTTGAATTGGAAAAGGTTTAATTTGAAATGGAAATGGTTGAATTGACTTGGAAAAAGTTTAATTTGATCTGGAAAAGGTTGAATTTGACTTGGAAAAGGTTGAATTTGACTTGGAAATAATTGAATATCACATAGAAATATCACACTGAAAAAATCTAAAATGTTAAAATAAATGGATAAGCAACTGCGTTATCATAATTTTGTTTGTATTTTTCAAAAGCTATGCCTTCGATAATGTAGTAAGTGGCCTTAAGTGGAAAAAAATCGAAAATTGATAAAAAATCGGAAGTTGAATTTGAAATGGAAAAGGTTGAATATGAATTGGAAAAGGTTGAATTTGAAATGGAAAAGGTTTAATTTGACTTGGAAAAGGTTGAATTTGATTTGGAAAAGATTGAAATTGACTTGGAAATGCTATATTAAGTTTTAGACCTAAGAAGAAAGTTATAAATTTTTATAGTAATTTAAAGGATTAAATTGGAAAAAAATTATCATGTAGGATTATTGTATAAGGTTCCTTGTTTGAATTGTCCAGCAATATACATAGAAGAAACAAAACAATATATCAATGTCAGAATGTACCAGCATTAGAATGACGTAAAAAACATGAAAAAAAAAATTGAAAATCAGTACTAGTACAACATGCTTTCAATAAAGAGCATAAATTTGATTTTGAAAAAGTTCAAGTTCTACAAAAAAAAAAAAAAAACACAATCAAGAGAAATTTTTTAGAAGCTTTGTTTATTACAGGGAACATAAATTATACTGTGAATTTCAAAGCAGATAGGACAGAATTATGCGGAAATAATAACAAAATTAATTTATAAATATATGGAAATGCAAAAATAATAAGTTTTATACCTGTTTAAGGATATTTTTAGAATAATTTATGTTAAATTTTAAATATTAAAATGGTTTTATTGAGTTGTAAAATTGAATGTCAAAAATAAAAATTACGTTTTTTTTAAAAAAAAAAAAGGTGAATTAATAATATGGCTGTGAATGTATTTCATTTTAATGTAATATTTATTGTCCAATTTAGCAATACATAAAGATGGTTTTAATAATGTAAATTTTATTTTTGGGATTGTGACAATGTAATGAGGTTTTTAAATAAACAAAGGGCAATAATGATTTTTAATTATTAAAATAGGTATGTACAATAGAGTATTAAATAAAAATAATTATTTTTCAAGTATAATTGGAATGTGTGCGATGATTAATTTATTTGTTAAAGGTTTCTTATAAAATAATAGATAATGGCATGAGGGCTGAAATGTTGATGTAAAAAAACAAATAAAGTAGGACTATAGTGATCAAATATGTGGTTTTATTATTATCAAAATAGTAATTTAAATAAGCATAGGTTATAAATTGCGGAGTGCGTAATGTTCATGGAAGACTAGATATGGAAAGTAAACAAAACAACCCGACGAAAAATGGAACACGGCTGGAAGATTTCTTAGGACAAAACCTGTGAATTAAATTATTTCTATATTTAATTTAATATTTCACACTTCAGATATTATTCATAACCTCGTGCTTATTTATATATACAGAGTTGTTTTTTCTGTCTTGTACTTTTATTTTTAATAATACCTATTGAATTAACTGATTCTGAGTGAATGATGATCATGATTATTTTGTGTGAATCACTTAACAGTACGATTCTTTCAGTGGAATTTACTCTTTAATTTGATTCTCGGTTCACCTGAATATCTCTAGTAGACATGTCACCACTGAAACATTTCATGGTTTTCCCATTATCATTACTTCTACTCTCTTAATTAAATTCCTTGCTAATTTTATCACTCTTTTTATTTGGAAAATAGTTGCCTCCTAAGTTAAGTTAGTAACTGCAGCTCAAAGGCAGGTATTGGATAGAATAGACCAACTTATTATAGTAAAACTATAAAACACTGATAGAATTGCCCACGTATTGAATTTGGCATGAATTTTGTTATTACCCGAAAGATGACTATTCGGAACTTGCTGCAGCCTTTTCTTAAATTTAATAGTTATTTTACTTAACACCTGTTTCTCTGCAGTCTTGGCAACTTGTTTAAACTCCTAATATTTATAAAATTTTCCAATATGTAGATGAATTATGGTAGGTCCTGAACTGAATCATAAAAAACTGTTTTCTAATTGTGGGTTGATGGTTGACTGTAGTGAATAATGAAGAGAAGGATGGTTGGGGTGATCAGTCAAATAAAAACTGTTTTCCTTTACTTTTTCTTTAATAGCATTCACCACAGTTTGCCCTTAATATGTATTGAGTTCTGTTCTCTGTAATTAAAGTATTTAGTATCATATTATTTTTGTTGTTACCTCATCATGAATAAATTAACTTTTTATTTAACAATTTTGTCTAAAATTTTACTTACTTAAGTTTATTTAATTATATTTAAATCAAAATTGTGTGTATGATTTTTTTTCTTAAATCACCATTGTTGAGTTAATGTATTTTGTTATCATTTTTTTTTTCAGGTTACAATGATTTACATAGCAGAAAAGAAATAAGAGAGAGTGCATGGAGACTTCCAGGTTGGGATGAATGTGTTGCATATACAGTGCCTTTAATTAGGGAAATGCATTCCAGAATACTTCGACCAACTACTTTTTCTCATACAAAATAATTCGATGGTTCTAAAATGTTATCAAACTTATTATCTGAATAATTTACGATATTTTGAGAAATCACAGGGGAATTCATACAAGTAGTGTCAGTGTTTTATTTTACTCTGTTTATTGTTATTTTATTGTACAATTTGTGTAAGTAAGTAATTTTTATTGTACATGTTGGTTCTTAGGAGTTTAATATTTGATTATTTATTAGTAATTGTTCATTATATATAAATCATTGATTGAAAATATTAAAATATAAATTAAAAAATAAAATGTTGATAAAAACAAATGAATTATATTAAGATTTCTAATTGTTTGTTGAATTTATTTACTTATGTATTAAGTTTAAGTCAGATCATAAAGATATTTTCTCTTTGTTATGATTTATCAGCTTTAGGATTTAAGTTTGGATGTTTAAACTTTAATATATTTTTTTCTGCTGGTATTGTTGTATTAAATGTGATTTCGTCTATCACAATTTGTGGGATTATGTTGTTTTTTTGTTTGTTATGATTTCTTATAAGTCATTTTAACTTAATTAATAATTCTTATTAGATGTTGTATTGTAAATAATATGTAACTATGTGAATAACTATATGGCATACATGTTTGAATGAATACCTTTCTTCTAGGTTAATATGTAAGTCGATTGAAAAATACTTATATCTGTTAAATTATTTTTTATACTTTTGTTTAATTGCATTAAGAGAAATGGTGTGTACTGTTTTTAGTTTCAATAAATAAAAAAAATGTTTTAAGATTTTTGTTTCATATCAAAACCATAAAGAAAAAAAAGAAAGACAGTTAATGAAACTTTTATTTGTTCCAATATTTTAAAATAATATCTTATTTGGTTTTAAAGCAATTAAAATAAAGTATAATTAAAATTAAAAGAGAAATAAATAAAGTTTTTAAAATAAATAACAAAACCAGTAAATTACCAAAAATAATTTTTGATTTTTGAACTAAGCCCATTATTTATCAAAAGCCTTTCCCAGTTTTTATCATTCTTGTTTTGAATTAGATTTTTTCATCCAGTTTATGGCCGCTAAATTTGTTATGTTGTCTCTTCATCTTATTAGTTGTCTATTTTCACGTGTAATGACCAATTTTTGTGTTGTTTTTTTGTCATCCTTGCGAAATCACCATTTAGTTTTAAAATCACCTCATTTATGTCCATAATTGCGGTTCTATGAAATAGGAAGCGACCATTATCTACTAATTATGGAGATGTGGATAGACCAGCCTTTGATCTAGACAAGAGCTCCTCTAAAATTAAAGAAAAAATCTTTTTAATTTAAAGAGGATAAAATGGCAAAAATAATATACTGGGAAGAGGAAGAACAGTTATTGAAAGACTAGATCAAAGGGAATCGGACATCATCGAAGATTGCTTGTCTGCATTATTAAAGATTGTTTTCTCTGCGGTGAGTAGCATGTGCGGATATGGCGGAACTGACGGTTGTATAAGGAGGACACCATAGTGGTCTCAGGAACTGAAGGAGAAAATAAAACGGAAATAAACTATGAAAACATTACCTTACCACAAAAAAACTTGCGCATTGTTATGCTTAAAAGAATAAAGGAAGCAGTAATACAGGTAAAGTAGAAGGCATGGGTGGAATTTGGGGAGCAATTAGAGTCCAACTGAAAAGAAAATCAAAAACTCTTCTACAAAGTGTTGAAATCCATCTGGAAGGAAAGAGAGTCCTAAAATTTATGAAGGGCAGAAATGAAAAAATTTTGAATAGAAGCAGAAATAATGGGGCTATTGGAAAGAATACTTCCACCACGAACTACTTGGTGGAATGTACATTAGGACCAGTGGTGATTACTAAGAGAACAGATAAATTTGAAAGGAAGATTTTTTAGATGAAGAAGAGTTGGACGAAGCACTTGCAAAACATGGATTTTGGAGAAGTAGGAGGCAAAGATGGTATATATATCACCTGAAATTCTCTGATAGATGAAGAGAAAATTTTCTCTATCTTATTAACCTAATCTGGAGGAAAAAAATGATGCCAGAAGATTGGGAAGTTCGAACCATTGTCCCGATATACAAAAGGAGGTAGCTGAAAGTGTGAAAACCACATAGGAATCTCTTTAATAAGTATCCCATGCAATATATACACACGGATTCCGGAAAGAAGACTGAGAATTAAATCCAATATTAGTTTAGAATAACCAGAGCAACCTATCTATGTGATGCAGATGGACGGGCATAGACCAAGGAAAATATGGGAGGAAGGCATAAAAGAAAGATAAAATATTTAAACTGAAATCAATTAAGAAAATAGGAAAATTCGACTGGATGGCTAAAGTTGGTATGCAAGTATTATACCACGCCCTATGTTCCTATTATTGAAATTTTAGTTTTTATTCAAAGATCATCATATGTAGCAACATAAACAAGGATTTTATTATTCATTCATGTGCACCTTACCATTTTTACGTGAAGATTTTATCACATCTTCAGCAGTAAATTTGAAGAATCATAGAATTTAGAGTTCATCTCAAACCTTTAAATAAAAATATGTAGTATAGCCAATTGCTTTGTTAATATATTTTCAAATATTCTTATAACCCATAAGCTAAATTAAAAAAAAAAGATATATATATATATATATATATATTATGTAATGGTTTTCATTTTTTTATCATGGCACTACAATCTGGTTACAGGTCTTGGCCTCCTTCAATCATCACGGTCTTGCGCTGACGCCGTCCAGTTCCTAACTCCCAGCATGTTGCGGGTATCTCCTGCCACACCATCCAACGATCTCATTCTTGGTCTCTCTCTTCTTCCATATATTAGCTGTGCAAGCAATATTGTAGGCATTTTTCCATTCACCGCTGTGGCGATATGCCGTGCATATCTTAAACCCCTCAACTTCATTGCTTTCACAATGTCGGCTTCTCCAAAAGCACTGTTCAGCTTCTGGTTCGTGCACCGCTTTCACTCCCCCCAAAACACGGTGAAGAACTTTTTTATCACAAACAAGGAGTTCTTTTTCAGTGGCCTTCAGAGTTGTCCAGCACTCCGATCCATAAAGAAGTATGGGACGCACCAATGTCTCATAAAGGTGGAGCTTGGTCTGTCTGGAAAGTATCCTCCTGCTTAGCTGCTTGCTCAATCCAAAGTAGCACTTGTTGGCTATTATGATCCTTCTTCTTATCTCAATATCGGGGTTATTGTCCTGAGTGACCACAGATCCCAGATAAGTGAACTCTGAAATCTTCTCAAATTTATGAAGTCAAATAATGACTGTCTTGGCTGGCATGGGAATTTCTTCTGTTACCATAGATTTTGTTTTAAACTCATTAACTTTCAGTCCAAGTGTGCTGGCATAACCCGTCAGTAACAGAAAAGCATCAGTCACGGCCTGCAGAGAGCGTCCCACTATGTCTATATCATCTGTGTTGACCAACAATTGGACAACCCTGGTAAAAATGTTCCCTTGTTCACGTAAACCAGCATCTCTTATGCCTTTCTCAAGTACTATGTGAAGCAACATACGGGCTAGTATCTCCTTGCTGGTGTCCTTTACCTGAACGAAATTCTTTTGATCTATCTCCATTCACTCTAACCATACATCTCACATCCTTCATGGTAAGCTTTATCAAAGTTATAAGTTTCTCAGGTATGTTTAATTCTCTGAGTCAACTATACAGTTCTTCACATATTATCTGTCATAGGCTGCCCTGAAATCTATGAACAGATGGTGAGTTTTTGTTTTGTACTCGTGGCCTCTTTCAGGAATGGTTCAGACTCAGAACATATCGTCAGAGGTCGATCTTCCTTCCCTAAACCCTCTCTGGTATGGACCAAGCTCACGTTCAGCATATGACAAAAGACGTCCAAACAGAATATGAGATAGTATCTTATTGGTGTAAGACAGCAGCAATATACCTCGATAATTTCTACACAGCAATCTATCACCCTTTTTATGTATAGGACCGATAATTGGCTTTGATTTTTATTAAATTGATTAAAACTGAACTTAAAAGAGACTGTAATACATTTGACAATTTTTACATGATCATTCTATTATTTTGTAATTTTTTACGGACTTTAAATTATATAAATCAAAATACCCTATTAATTAATTGTTTTTATCTTTTCCATCTATATATCAAGTGTATAAAGTTATTTATAGAACATTTGCAGTCTGTACAGAGAATTACAAAGATTAAAAATATTAATAAAGTAATTACTTTCAATTTTTGTTCTTTTTTTATGATATACTTTATACAATTTAGATAAGTGAAAAAAAAATACTAAAGAAAATATGATGGCCGGTTCGTCATAAATACTTTTAAATAGAAATAGCAATGTGGATTATTTTGAAAATTTTATTTAAACTCCCTAACCATTTGAACAAAACTTTTGAAAACTGAACAACGCATTACAAAATAAAAATTGCGACAGAGCACCAGGATTAAAATCGTATATTCTCTCATTTTTTTTATAGGAAAAGGTGAAAATGCTTCACATTAAAGGTTACCGATGGAAATTTCTTTAATTGCTGAATTTATTTCTTATATTTTATTTCTGGAGATTATATAATTTGTTTCCACATGTCATTTATCAAAATGGTGATGAGTTAAGGAAAAAAAAATTAGAGCCCAGATTTAACTTTTCTCAATTCATATACATATTTTTAATCCTCGAAAATCTATTTAGGACCATTGAGGTGCACAACGCCTTAAAACCAGAAAAAGTGCAAACAATAGCAAGTGTGAGAGGAAAATATTAAGAATCCCTAAAAGACACTTCTTAATCACCAAATTAATTTACATACAAAACTGCTTTGATACAAAGGGGCCACTCTTAAATATATATATATCCCATCATACCTGTTGGTCTGACACCTCGCTGGACCTGCATATTATTGATTCAGAGCATAAACTCTTATCCTGTTTTCAACTACCCGTTGCTTTCATATCCTCTCATGACCTCGTCCATTTATCATATAATATCAAAACTTCCTAAAACCGTAACATTTCACAATCTTGACATCCTCACTCATGATAAAATCGTACCTGAACTTGAAGTTCTAAATTGGAATGAAATCTACTCTTGCACCTCTATTGATCATGTGGTTACTTCTAATCTTATTCATAGCCTTGACACTCATGCCCCTTTTACAACTCCTATCTTTTATCGCCAACCTGCTCCTTGGACGTGTCAAGAAATTCGTGACATGCAAACGAGACGTGAGGCAGCCCGTAGACGCTACAGAAGAACACGACTAACGAATGATATTCAAGCGTTTAGGATACTCCGGAACTTGACCCAGACAACGATCAGGAGATTGGAATCAAACTATTATTACGAAACTCTCTCTTCTGCTTCTAATTCTAAATCAATATGGCTAATGCTTCGTAAACTCTCTCTTTGCAAATCATCCTCCTCATCACTCTAGTCGGTTTCACCTGATGAATTCAATTCTTAATTTATATCTTCATCTACCAGTATTCCTTCCAGTATCTACCAGCTTATCTTCCTCATACCAGTATTCCT